AGAACTTAGAATTTCTTATGATAATTTCATACATTGTTTTGATATGAAATGATTTAAAATTTTATATCTGAAGTTATAAGTTTTTCTATATCAATAATGTAAACTATCCTCTTATATCATGTCATTTCAGTACAAGTGTTCAACATTTGAAAAGAGAAAGATGTCATCGATGTCAAATAATACATCTTTTATTGCATTTTTGAGCAATATGACAGCTGAATTCAATCGTTCTCTGGCGGTTTTTATATTTTTATTTGGTGTTATCGGTAATATTCTTAATATTTTCATTTTATCTCAACGATCTTATCGTTCAAATTCATGTGCTTGGATTTTTCTTGTTCTATCCATTGTTGATCTTGTCTCTCTTGTATCTGGTCTCAGTACACTAATGATTGCTGGTTGGACGACTAATCCTACTAGTTATATTGGGTCAATATGTAAAATTCGGGCTTTTCTCGTATTCTCGACGAGAACAATGGCTACATGGTTAATGGTATTAGCAACTATTGATCGATGGTTTCTATCAAGTACTAATGCTCTTCGTCGTCAAAAGAGCTCATTGAAGAACTCTCAGTTATGGACAACCATTGTTATCATTCTTTCAGCTATTTGCTATTCACAACAATTATATTGTTATGAAGCTAATCTCATTGATACTCCTCTGCGATGCTATGGAAAAACAGTCGTATGTCGTTATCTCACTGATTTATCTCTTGCTGTAGTTACAGTGGGCATTCCTGTAATTCTCATGATATTATTTAGTTTATTAATTATTTCAAACATACGACAATCTCAGCATCGTGTGCAAATACTACAATCAAATACTATCAGATCTATTGCCAATAATTCATCTCATTTGAATACTAGAATTTCATTTGGAAGGTTCAAGAAAATAGAACACAGTATTCTTCGAATGCTTTTATCTCAAGTTATTCTTAATAGCGTTTTTACTTTTCCCTTATGTCTAGACAAATTTTACTCATCAATATGGGGCGATAATGGATCTCCAGTTGAATTGGCGATTAATGCTTTCGTATACGATATGGCTATTTTGGTTTACGACATATCCAACGGCATAACTTTCTATATTTATATATTGTTTGGTGGTAGTGTTTTTCGAAAAGCATTGTATGAATTTCTTGTCTCAGTAAAAGAGAAATTTACATGCCATTAGAATTGTTGCTTTTTTCATTATTTCTTTTACTTTTGAGTTCCAAAAACAATGGATGTGAGTATAAATCCATGAAAACGTATCGACATCGATGACCAATCATTCACTATCAATATTTGAATTGTTTCTTTCTCTATTGCAAGAGGTGGATATTCTTGATGCTCATAAAATCTGTTGACGTTAGTTGAATCTGTTACTTCCATTATTTGTTAGTCTGTTGAAACTGATCGCGTCCGGTATCAAGTTTGCTTTTATTTGCCGAGTTCTTTTCTAATTAAATGTAGGGCGTGGGTGTTGGTGTGGGTGTATTCCTCTCCTTCATCCATACCGACATCCTATTTATCTTTATTTTCATACTCATTCAGATCGATTGTTAAGAGTGTGAGTATATCTTAAGAGAACAGGTACACTCTACTGGATGATCTCTTTCGATACTATTTTTTTTATTAAAGGTTCTTTCTTTTAAATTATTACAGTGGCGCATAAGTTCTAAGATTTTTTTTTCTGGTTTAACAATAACTTTATTTTTCAACAAAGATATGCAACATCAATCAACAATATAATCGCCATTGTTTTATGGGTATTTCTTTTGTTCTTTCATTTTCATCTCACTACTATACATTCGTTCCTGTTCTATCAAGGTCAAAAAGACATTGAAATTGATCTTGAGGGTGTGGGTGTGGGGTGGGTGTGGGGTGAGTGTGGGTGTGAGGGTGGGTGTGGGTCTTGCTATTCTATCCATCCACACCCATATCCACCCACACCCACACCCTTTGTGTATTATTATTTGTTGAAGCAGTTGTAACAAGTTGCATACTTCTTGTATGTTCTTTTTTATCAATATGAAAATCTCATTGTTTTAATGTAAGTCGTAATTGTTTCGAAAGAATGCTTGGCTCTTGCAGCAATATTCCATACAATAAATGAATAACTCGGTTGTGCGTACCAAATTGTAATTCGAATATAACATATAATGAAATAACAATGCTTAATGCTTGATTTATGGATTTTGTTTGAGTGATCATATTAAACTCCAAATATATATTAAAGTCATCTGATGTTACTTGTATAGTTGAACGAGCACACGCTAGTTCCTGTATGATGAAAATAAGATATATTTATGCAGACATAAACTTATTGTTAAATGTATTGTATAAGATAAAAATTTTGCCTTGTAGATTAACTGAGTTTTTAATAAAAATTTAGCGCTTACTTTATTTCGTAATAAATATTGCTATGAATTTTGAAAATTTTACTTAACAGTTTAATTAATCGTACTGCTGGAAGATCTAAACAGTCATGAAGAAATATAAAACATGTGAAAACATTCCGTAATCTAATTAGATACTTGCCATTTACAAAACCTGAATTTTCAGGTATTATACTAAGTAATTTTGGTAAAGCATTTTCTAAATTTGACTCAATATCAACATTACATAGGTATTGAATCTCGTCGAAAATCTTAAAATAAATGACTTAGTACAATCAAATCACTATAAGATCTATTCAGTGATGCACCACTTCTTCAAATCTAATCAAATAATGTAGATATGCTTACCAATAGAACATGATGATAACCAGGAAACTCTTGTAACACTTCTTTTGTTGTATGAGTTTGAATAAATTTTCTTCTTGCTACCAATGCTTTTTTCCACACAATTCTGACTTCATCAAAATCTACTTTTTCTTGTAACAACTCTTTTTTCATAAATTGAATACTTTTATCTAAATCTTCAGGATCATCATTAAGATCTATCTTATTCCAAAAATCAATAGGAATCTTTAATCAGAAACAAAAATAATCGCTTTTAGTTCTTCATCTATATTCGAATACAAAGTTTGATTAAAACTTACTTCACGACGGGGTGCAGTTATATTATCATTTCCTTTTATGGGACGACCATAGTTGCTACCATGCTTCAGTTTCATTTGTTGGACTTGCTCGGAAGTTTGTTGAAGCGGACGACGCTCTCTTTTAAATTTAGATTTAAGACTTTCGATCTAAATTCAAAAGGTGTGTATGGAATTCAGCTTGCAGCCGATGTTTTCCGACTATTGGATCAACTATCGGAAATCAACAGAACCGACATCAGACGAGAATCTGTCGGACGTTGTTGAATTACTCGGAAATCCTATGGGATTCAGCTGAAGTCGAGTTTCAAATTTCTCGTCCTGGGTTG